AAAAGAAATAAAGCAAGAAAGAACACTACGTCTCATTCATCCACGGGAAAAAGCCTTTCCCTGTGATGGCAAATCCGTTGATTAACTGAGGATCAAACCCTCTAAATTAAACCTTTGTTGGGGAGACTGAACTCTTTGTGCGAGGTACCTTTCCCCCGGCTCCCAGCCCCGGCAGCCGCCCCCGCGCCTCCTCCCCGCAGGTGCCATCGCCCCCCGAGACTGTGGGGTCCCCGTGGGGCGGCCAGCGTGGGCTAGGGGTGATGCGGGGATTGTTCCCCGGGGCGGGGGGGCGGATTTTTTGCTGATTTGGGCGCTCACGGAGGGTTACCGGCAGCGGGCTGGGGATCGCCCTGCCCAGTCCCAGTGTGCCCCAGCGCTCCCAGTGCCCCCCCCAATCCGGGCTCCCCCCCCCCCCCCCCCCACGCCCACGCCCTCCCCTCCGTGTGTCCGGCGGTACCTGGAGGCGGGAGGTGCTGCCCCGAGTCCCCCGCGGGGCGGGCGGCGGCGGGACGGACGGATGGACGGATGGACGGACGGACAGAAGGCTGGGTGGACGGAGGGCTGGAAGGAGGGAGGGATGGACGGAGGCGGGCGGGGGGGGGTCAGCAGCAGCCCCGAGCGGCGAGTCCCCACCCAGCTTTGTCTGCGCTCATCCCTCAGCCTACAGGAAGCGGCTCGGCCCCGACTTCCTCCTCCTCCTCCTCCTCCTCCTTCTTCTTCTCCCTCTCCTCCTCCTCCTCCTTCTCCTGCTGCTGCTGCTCTCCTCTCCGATCCCCCGGCTTTTGCAGATCGCTTTTCTCCAGACCCCGCTGCCTCCTGCCCCTCACCCTGCCTCTGTTCCGCCCCCCCCCCGCCCCGTCTCTGCTCATGTCCCTGTCCTGGCTCCTGGCCCCGTCCCTCCTCCTTGTTCCCCAACCCCCCCGACCCTGCACCCCACACGTGGCACATACCAACCCCACGGCCCTCACACCCACCCCACCCACTGTAACCCCCATCCCACACCCTGCACCCCACCTCCCCCCCACCCCGGCACCCATCCCCACACACCACACCCATCCCACACCCTGCACTTGCACCCCACACGTGGCACATACCAGCCCCACGACCCTCACACCCACCCCACCCACTGTACCCCCATCCCACACCCTGCACCCCATCCCACACCCTGCACCCCACCTCCCCCCCCCCCCCGGCACCCATCCCACACCCTGCACCTGCACCCCACACATGGCACATACCAACCCCACGACCCTCACACCCACCCCACCCACTGTACCCCCATCCCGCACCCCACACCCCCCCCCCGCACCCATCCTGCACCCCACAACGTCCCCTGACTTCTGTCACACACCCTGCACCCCACCCACCCACTCCTGCACCCACAGCCCCCCCTGCACCCATCCCTGCCCTCTCTCATATCCTCCCTCAAAGCTCCAAATGCCCCATGCCTGGATCAGCCCCCCTGAGCCCCCCCAAACCCCGCAACTCTCACACCTCTGCCCCGGTGTGGGGCATCCTGACCGACACAGCCCCCCACCCCAGCACCCCCTGCCCCCCTCAAGCCCTTCCCAGCTGAAAAGATACCAACCTGCCCCTCCGAGGCACAGCGCAGGGAAACACCCAGCACTCAGTAGTTCGTATTTTCTTTTTAATCAACGGGAGCCCACATGCCAAGTTTTTAGGGTTTCAAGCGGAAGGTTTCAGAGGCTTGGGTTTTTATAAGGCGGCCTTTTCCTCTCCTCCATCTGCACCCCAAAACTTCCGCAGCCAGCCCAGCTGGGTGCTCGTGGCTCACCCTTCAAATCCGCTCTCTGCAAGGGCTCACCAGCCCCGTGTTACACATATACGTTAAAAGTACGTTAATGTGTTCCCTGGGTAGGGCTGTGGGGTGCAGCTCCCCGGGGGTGGTAAGCAGGGGGTATCCCACGAAGCGTGGCAGTGGGGGACGGGGGGTGGGGGGGTGGGGGTGAGGGGGGGGGCTTGCGTGTCACCCCTCCGCTGGCCGAGCTCTGCGGGGTTCCTGGCAGAGAGGCGCTGGCTGCCATAAACTGGGTTTCCCCTCCCGTTTCCACAGCAACGCTCGGTGACTGATTTCCTTCGCTGCCCTGCGAGCGGGGTGCAGGAGCTCGGCCCTGGCACGCCCGTCACCCCAGCACCCACAAAGGCCACCCACAGCAGCCCCCCCAGGGCCCTGGCACCCCTCCCAGGCAGCACCCAGCACGGGGCTGGGGCTGGCAGAGCCATCACCCCCCCCCCCCCAAAATACATTGAGCCACTGACCCCCAAACACAACGCAGGGGATGTGCGATGCTGCCTTAAATAAAAACGTTGCATCCGGTGATAATTACAGGGTGCAGAAGGTCCCCAGCCTAAAGAGACACCGGAACACAGGGTATTTTTGTAATTATCACCAATTAGTTGTTGGTGCCTAATCGGGGTGATGTCAAAGGGTATGTCCATCCAGCAGCACTTGTTTTGGAAGGGCTGATAAAAGGAGGATGTGCTGTGAGGCACCTGCCTGGGGGCAGCCGTTGCTGCTTAACGGCAGGAGAAAGCATGACCTGTTTAGATCCAGCAGCAAAATTAAAAAAAAAAAAAAAAAAAAAAAGATGTTACTGCAATATTTCGCTTTTTAAAGTTCATTTTGCAGTTGGCTCCGTAAAAGTGGCATTTGTGTGTTGTCGCCTGGCAAATCCCAAGTCTTCAACCTCTTGGTCTGCCACGAAATGGTGACAGGAGATGTAAAATCTCAAGTGGAGCGACCGGAGATGAAATGGCCCAAGTGCAGGCTTTCTGTGAGAGCTCGAATGTGTGAAATGCTAAGGCAGAGCAGCAGAAGGGCTGCCAGCACCGGGGAGCATCCCAGGGAAAAGGCCAGCGTGGGTGCAAGGCTGCCTGAGGACACGTTGGGATGGGAACTGGAGGACCTTTCCCCCCCTCCCGGGGGGGCCTCTCCTGTGGCAAGATGAAGGAGCAATGGAAACCAAGCCATCAAATGCCTTCAAACCGAGGAGGATTTGTTTAAAAGAGTAGCTGGGGGTACTAACCTTTGCTAAACACAGCCCATGGGGAGGAGGGAACCCCCTCTCCGTCCCCCCTGGGCAGCAGGGCTGGCACGCTCTGCAGGCTCGTGCAAAAAAAAAACCATTCAACATCTGGTTTTAGGAAAATGTAGGGGTTTTATAGGCCAAGGATGAAATCTGGAGACTATACTTAGTAGCAGACGTTGCAGCCCCCCCTTCCCAGAAGTCGCTCGCTCCCTCGTGCTCCTCCCTCCTTGCATGAGGCAATTAGCTGCCCCCAAAACGTCCGGAATTAGCAGCAATCAGCAATTAGGCGCCGAGACCTGCGGCTGCCCAAAGGTCAGCGCCTGCCTCGCTGAGGACGAGGGATATTTTTAGAGGACAAAGGAAAATCGCTGCTAACGTGCAATTATTTTCGGGGCCCGTAGAAAAGGCACAGGATGCTCCCCGGCACCGCTCCGCCGTGGATACCGAGAGTGCCCGGGGAGGGGGGGGCAGCAGGGATACCCCACGCCGGAGGTGCACAGCCCCATGTCTCCATCCCCACCCTTCTCAGAGGGTGTTTGGGGGGAGGGATGGAGGGAAAAGGCGGGCTCCAGCGCAGGTCCTGGGGGCTGCCCCAGGCTCCTGGGGGGTGGAGGTGGCCCCAGTGGTCCCAGCACTAGTGTGGCACGGGCTGGGAGAAACCACTCGGTGAAGTTTTACTGGTGCTGCTTCCCCGTGGGCCAACAGGGGCTTCATCTTCACATCTTCTGCAGGAAATCGGGATTTTGCTGCTCGCGACGGCGAACTCATCACATCAGAGCGAGCAGACAGCCCTTATCTTCCTTCTCTACCACTTGTGTGTCAGCAGTCAGGAGTGGGTTGGGTGCGAGAGGATAAATACGCTGAGGATCAAGAGATGCTCAGAAAATTGGGGAGGGAGAGGTGGAAAGGCTGTGGTTGTTAGTACCTTACACAACAGCTTTCCCTGGCTGGAGGAAGTAGGTGCCAGGGTCAGCAAACCTGACAAAATCAAGAAGAAAAGAGCTGGCTAATTACGTTCCGAGGAGTTTAATTAACGCTAGTGGCACGGGAAATAGGAGGGTGGCCCTGGGTGTTGGAGAGGGCTCCAGCACAAACCCTCTATCGGACACTGGAAAATCCACACACTTCACCCAAAAACATCAACTCAGAAAAGAAAAAATGAGTCTCCCCTGCCCACGTGCTTGCAGAGAGCAGGGCCTCAGGAAATCCTCCCGAGAGGAGGCGGCAGCTCTGCCAGCTTCTCCGCTCTGGAAACCGGGGAGCGTTTTTTGGGGGGGAATCGTTAGGAAAAAAAGCAAACGACGCCTTGCTCAGCAGCCTGGCCCCCACAGCGAGCTGTGGGCTAGCGGCCCGTGGGGATGCTGGAGCCCGGCTGACACCCCCTTTCTGCAAGCAGGGGGGGGTGCCCCAGCCCCGTGCAGCGCTGACCCCCCCCATCACCTTTCCCACTGGGACTGCTGGGCCCACCCAGCTCCACAAGCAGCCACCAAGAAGGTTTAGAAGACCCCACAGTGTGTCGTTCGTCCCCCCCCCCCAAGCTCCTACAGTTTGGGGACACCCCAAGCACCCCACACGGGGCTCACTGGGGTGCACGGCCGGAGCCATCGGTGTCACAGGGCTGCGAGGAGGCACTGCCATCTGCAACCCTTTCTGCGGCCAACCCCCCTGTCCCCACTTATTTCAGGAGCTTAATCCTGGTGACGGCTCCTGCAGTCCCCCCCCGCCCAATGCCGGAGCGCTGAAACTGGATGCCACTTTCATAGAAATCACCAAAAATCAGGATTGAAAGGATCAGCCCATCCATTCCCCACCACCTGAAGGCAGGAGTTGCCTTAACCTCTGCCCCAGCGATGCTGGAGCGGAGAGCACAGTCAACGTAACACATTTCTTAAATTTATACGTGTTTCATCATTGACTTAAGCCCAGGAGCATTTCAAAGAGTCAAAGCAATGCAAACAACTGTCACTTTATTGTCATTTCCAGCTGTACTGCAAAAGGCACACAACAAACGTCATTGGTACAAAATAATTTCGCTGCGGGGTTTTTTTTTTGTATAGTTTTCCTTGCGTTTTTCTTTCGCAACACAGTCACTGGCTCTCCCATCGCCCTGACGGGAAGATCCTTTCACAGAAAGGACTATTTCGTTCGTGCAGACAGATAGCTCATTATTGCAGGGGGAGCAGGCGGGCACGGCCACCCCGTCCCCCGCGCGGCCACCCCGGCCACCTGCGGAATAAATGGCACCTCTGTGTGTCCCCCCCGTCCCCCCCCCATCCCAGCTCCCACTTGCTGGGCTGCTGCGGTCCCAGCTCAGGCTGTGGGATAAACTGGGTGTGGGGGGTAAGAAATGGAGAGGCCCCGATCTAGCTGCACACACACACACACACCCCCTCCCCGGGATTGCTTTCTGAACAGCGTCAAGCATTTCTTTACACAATTTACCCTTTTGCTCCGTCTGTGTTTCTGCAGAGCAGAGGGTGAGGGTCCCCCCCATGGAGGGCACACAGGGCTCACTGGCTGAGGAGGGTGCCAGCAGGACCCCCCCACCTCCCCCCAAACTGGGCTCTGCGGCCCTGCTGCCTCGCAGGGGCTGGCACAGGGCGGGGGGGAAAAAAACAAAAAAAAAAAACAAAAATGAGGCTGGGGATGAATTTAGGGGATTTTCCTGCCCGTAGCAGCCCGTGTGGTTCCAGCACGGTTGCTGGTGCTCACACCAATCCCCTGGCTGGGGATGGCGGGGGCTGGAGCGGGGCTGATGCTAGCAAACCCCAGCATCCCAGCCTGGGGTGTGGTGCCCCCAAGAGAGGCTTTTGGGGTGTTTGCTGGGGTCCCCCCAAAACCAGAGTGGTGCACATAGCCCTGAGCCCCCAGGCAGCACCCCTCCAGCTGCCCTGGGTGGGTTTAGGGGATGTAAAGAGAAGCTTTAGGGGCCACCAGCCTCCTGGTCGTCCCTGCCAGCGTCAGGCTACCTCCATTATCTTCCCAGTAATATCCAACGTCCCGGCCCTCGTGCCGGGGGGGGGGATCCAGCTCTGGGTTGGGGACACAGCGCCCGCTGCTCCCCCCTCCCAGCTCCCACATTATAACACTGAGGCTTTTTTGCACGGTGCCAGTAGCTACGCTCCTTTGCTTTTGGTACCAGTTCCCCCTTCTCAGCTCCCTCCCCCAACATTTCTTATAAAAATAAGATTGTGCTTATTTATAAAATATTTTTTTTTTTCTTTCTAAGAAAAGTTTCCAGTTAAAAAAAGGTGGTATATCAAAATATGGCAAAACTTTGGCTGTCAATAGCTAAATTCTAATTAAAAATATCGACTAAAAAGGCATTGTGCTGTGAACGTTAGCTGCTGTAATGCTTTACCCTCCAGCACCGATGGCAGATATTACACCTGGGCAGATTAGCTTCCCTAGGACACGCTCTGAAGCTGCCCTTGGATTTTTCTAGCACATCACCATCATCCTTTAGCAGAACTATTCAAACTGTAAGAGACTTAAAGACACATGAAAAGCCTTGGTAAAATACAACGGAGACTGCACCGGGAAGAGCCACACTTACAACGCAGTTGCATACATATTCTTCTTGAGAGGAAAGTCTATTTTCTCACCTTAGTGCTCAGAAAAAAAAATATGATTGTTTATATGGTTCACTGAAGAAGAGAGGCAGATCTTTTATATAAAAGGTATTTTAGAGCAGAAGTAAAATGCAAATGGGTCTATAAGATCCAGACATATATAAACATACATACCTTGATATATTTATATATGTAAATCTCTATCTAGTCAAAGTTTGGGATGCATTATTGCAATATCCTTACAGGTGACTTATTCTTTTTCATTCTCCTTTGCTTCCGATTTTCTTGGGTGGGTTTGTTTGTTTTTGGTTTTTTTTTTTTTTTTGGTTTGGGGATTTTTCTCTCTCAAAAAAAAAATTAAAAAAAAAAAAAAAAAAGGAAAAAACCAAGCTGCAAACGGCTCCGAGAGCTCCCAGCCACCAGTCGCCACACTGGGACCGCTCTGGTCTGACCTCCAGCACGTGTTTTTGGAAGAACTGGGTTGATGCTCTGTCCCCGCAGCCACTGGCCGTGTCCTCCTCCACGGTACATCACCCGTGCCCGGAGATCCCCGGCTGGTTATTGCTTAATTCTCCCTCCCCATACTGGCCTTTAGGGTATTTACATTTCTTTGGCTTGACTTGAACACAAGAGTCTGGCACTTTCCCTCCGGCGTCGGTTGCCACCAAGCCACCGCCGGAGCCGCCCGGCAGCGCTGAGGATGGGGGCAAGGAGGAGAGGAGGCCACCTTGCCACGAGGCAATGAGAAAACACGGCTTGGCTTCTGCCAGCTCGAACGAGTCGTGCTTCTCCCAGTCGAAATAAGACAGCTTGTGTCCAGCATAAACTCATCCGGAGGAGAAGGGATGCCGGGGGACCGCCGGCGGGACTCCGCCATGCCCGGGGGGGGGGGGGGTCTCCATCCCGCCCAACCGTCGGGGCGACCCTCCGAGCGCGACGGTTTCCACGGCCTCGGTTTGCAAGGAGGGGCGCAGGGGAAAGGCAGCGTTGTTGACCCCCAATACAGGGCAGGGAGCCCCGGCCTCCCCCCGCCGAGGGCGGGCAGCCGGTCCTGCCCCGCCGCGGCCCTCAGACGACAAACTCGGGGACTTCATCGTGGGTGAGATCCAGCGAGAAGTATTTGCTGGTTCTTTTGACGGGGAAGGTCTCCTGGATGTTGATGCACTGCTGGGCCAAGCAGCCGTTGCAGTAGAGCCCTTCCTCCTCCAGCCCGTGGGCACAGCCGAAGGTGTAGCTCTGGGCCGTGTCCTGGCAGAGGTTGGCCAACTGCAAGAAGTCCTTCTGGTAGAGCCGAATGTCATCCAGGCTCAGGCTGTGCCGGTCCGTCGACGTCTTCGGTTTCCTGCACGTCGTCTGGGCGAAGCAAAAAGGAAGCTCAGGACCCACCAGGGAGCCAAAGGGGTCAGGGAAACCCAAACCCCAAGTGTCAGCAGGGCTTTGGGTTTCACCAAAGCTCCACCAGCACCACGTACCTGGGGTAAGGAGTCGGTGCTCTGGCCCCGCAGCTTCACCACCGTCTCCGAGGAGCTGGAGGTGGAGGAGCTGATCTCTTTCACGATAAGCCCTGCGTGGAGGAGAGAGGAAGAGGAGGGTGCAAACGTTCTTTTGAGGCTTCTCAGCTCTCTTGGGATCTGTGCTCGCCGCCCCTGGGGGCTTGCTCTTGCTTTGGGGTGAAGGCACCCTCAGCTCCATGGGGTGCCTTCACCCCAGCGGCTCTACTTGCAACCAGCTTTACCTAGAAAGCATCCCAAATCTGCACCAAAATGGCATCCAAAGCCAACCCCAGGGAACCTGGCACCCCAGAGACCTCCCAGTAGCGCCCAGCACGGATCCAGAAAAAGCAGGTGACTCTCTGGGTGAAAGTACAGCTCTGGAGAAGCCAGGCTCACATATGTGATAACAGCACCCGTGCTCATGGAAACAAGAGAGGGGTTGTCACGAAAAGGAGAGCAGAGGCCAGGGATTGAGAACACAGCCAAAATTATGTCCATCGCCCGTGGGCAGCTTCTGCCACCGTCCCCCGGCATCTCCAAATAACCTGGGGTGCCTGGGCACACACCCCTGATGTATCCACCCTGCTCCAACAAAAACCTGCACCTTTCCTGGGCGACCCCTTCTTTTTATAGCTTCACCAAATGTACCCCGTCTCTTCTTCAACCCACTGGGCGAGCGGTTTTTCCCACCATCCCAAATGGACGCCTCGGGCTGATTTCACTCTGCCGAACACAAAGCTGTGACTTCCGTTGGAGAATTGGAAATAAAAGCGGCCACCTCCTTACCCGAGTGCCCGTTGAACTTGCGCGACAGCAGCATGTCCTCCGTGATGTAGACGCACATGTCGGGGCTCACCTCCATCTCGCCGGCCTGCTCCAGCTCCCGGGGGTCATCCACCAGCATCTCGATTTCTGCAGGCGAGGAGAAGGTGGGACAAGCCGCTGGCGTGCACCTGCAGAGCACCCTCCGACCCCAACGACCCGCTGAAGCCCAAGCTGGGAAGCCCCACGCTCAGCTGGCGTCTCACCATCGTCCTGGGAATCCTCCTCCAGCCGGTCCTTCCCACCGCTCTCCACCCCGGAGGTGTGGGAGCTGCCGTGGCTGGTCATGGAGCTGCAAGTCTTCAGCTTGCGATGGGCACCGGCGCCGGAGAAGCCATCCTCGGGCCCCATCTCCCTGGCTTTGGGGTCGCTCTCGATGCCCGAGGTGTGGGAGCTGCCGTGGCTGGCGGTGGAGTGCCGGGAGAGGCGTTTGTGCCGGATGCTGCCGGCGCTGCTGCCGCTGGCCCGCGAGCGCTTCTCCAGCTGCTCCATGTCCAGGTCCAGGGTGTCGCTGATGTAGGACTCGCGGTACTGCTTCTTCTCTGAGAGGCCAGCGGCACGGCGTCGGCGCGCGGCAGCCTGCACCCCGACCCCCCCCCCCGCCCCACCCCCCCTTGGGGTGCCCTGGCCACCCTGGGAAGGGCAGGGCACCCACCCCCCAGCACCCAAGGGCACCCAGGGGCACCGAGAAAACCCGGTGGCATTTGGGGATGGTGGGGCGGGGAGCCTCAAACTCGCTGTGCCCTGTGCTGTGCTGCCTGTCCCTCCAAAGGAAGAGGAGGAAGGAAAAGGCAAAAGAGGAGGAAGAAGAGGAAGAGGCAGAAGAGGAGGAGGAAGAGGAAGAAGAGAAGGAATAGGAGGAAGAAGAGGAGGAGGAGGAGGAAGAAGAGGAGGAGGAGGAGGAAGAAGAGGAGGAGGAGGAGGAAGAAGAGGAGGGAGAAGAGGAAGAAAAAAAAAAAAGAAGGATGAAGGTGAGGAAGAGGAAGAAGATAAGGAGGAGGAAGAAGAAGATGAGGAGGAAGGATAAGAGAATGTGGGAAAGGAGGGAAGGGAGAAGGAAAAAAAAAAGAAGGATGAAGATGAGGAAGAGGAACAAGATAAGGAGGAGGAAGAAGAAGATGAGGAGGAAGGATAAGAGAATGTGGGAAAGGAGGGAAGGGAGAAGGAAAAAAAAAAGAAGGATGAAGATGAGGAAGAGGAACAAGATAAGGAGGAGGAAGAAGAAGATGAGGAGAAAGGATAAGAGAATGTGGGAAAGGAGGGAAGGGAGAAGGAAAAAAAAAAAGAAGGATGAAGATGAGGAAGAGGAACAAGATAAGGAGGAGGAAGAAGAAGATGAGGAGGAAGGATAAGAGAATGTGGGAAAGGAGGGAAGGGAGAAGGAAAAAAAAAAGAAGGATGAAGATGAGGAAGAGGAACAAGATAAGGAGGAGGAAGAAGAAGATGAGGAGGAAGGATAAGAGAATGTGGGAAAGGAGGGAAGGGAGAAGGAAAAAAAAAAAGAAGGATGAAGATGAGGAAGAGGAACAAGATAAGGAGGAGGAAGAAGATGAGGAGGAAGGATAAGAGAATGTGGGAAAGGAGGGAAGGGAGAAGGAAAAAAAAAAGAAGGATGAAGATGAGGAAGAGGAACAAGATAAGGAGGAGGAGGAAAAAGATGATGAGGAGGAAGGGTAAGAGGAAGATGAGGAGGAAGATCTTATGTTTGCACAAGGGCTTTCTGAGCTTGGGGATGGGCTGCGGGGCACTGGGAAGCACTGCACTGAGGAACTGGGCCGTCAGGGACCCCAGCAGGACTTGTGCCCACCCCTAAGCAGCTGGGGGGGGGGGGGGAGGCGGGTCTGGGGGCACCCAGCCCAGCCAGGAGAGAGTCTGCCAGGCAGGGCCGGGGTGCACCGTCAAGGGGGGGACACAGGGGCAGCCACCCCCAAACCACAGGGCTGGGCGCAAGGACCAGGCGCCGGTACAGGCAGAAAAGCCGGGTGGGAGCCCGGCATGGGTGGGATTTGCACTTTGGGGGGGCTGGACACCTACCCTCATTCTCCTCCAGCTTGCGGACCTGGCGCAGGACGGGCTGCAGGTTCATGTAGAGCCGGTGGCTGCTGCTGAGCAGCTGCAGGAGGTGGCGGGAGCGCAGAGGGCAGCCCGTGTAGTAAATGAGTTTCCTGGCCGAGGGCAGCCCGTCTGGCAGGATCTCGAATTTCTTGCCCTACGTGGGAGAGGAGGGACATCAACCCCAGAGAGGAAAATACTCTAGCTGTCGCCCAGCCCTGCTGCAGCCCACCTATTAACCCGCTCAGCTTGCAACCACCCCGCGCGAGGTCTGGGCAGCAGCACCCCACGCCCAAAGCAGAGCCCGGGAGCGCCGTGGGTGGAGATGCTCTGCCTGGGGACGGTGGCACTCACCACAAACACCAGTTTCCCCACGTTTGTCCAAGGGAAGTCGTAGAGCAGCTGCTTTTCCTCATCCAAGTTCTGCGAAAAGAGGAGAGGCAGGGGCTGCCCACTCCTGCCCGGCAGCGGGCAGGGAGCCGAGCCATCGCCCTCCCTCAGCCAACTACCTGGAAGATCTGGATGCCCCGGGTCGTCAGCCCCAGCGTCAGGGAGGCCTCCACCTCCCTTTTGTCCTAAGAGAGGGGAAAATTAGATGCTTTTAAATACACAATTTGCTGCATGAAGTGGATAAATCTGTGCGTGTCCTCCCCCTCCCCGTCCAGGTAACCTCCTGAAGTCACCCCATCTCTCAAGCAGCAGCAATGAATCATAGAATCATTTAGGTTGGAAAAGACCCTTAAGATCATCAAGCCCAACCATTTAATTAATGATGCGCTCGTATCACCCGGTCGCATCCTCTCACACCCTCCCCCAGTCTCACCCCCAGGTGCCTGCTGCTCTCCTCAGCGCCCAGGAACACCCCAGCTCAAGGGTCTGGAAAAGCAGCTGAACCTCAAAAAACTTGGAAGAACCTTTAGAAACCGAGCTGGGGCGCTTCTACGCTTGAGCTCAACCTGCTCCTGCACCAGCACAGAGCGGGTGACGGTGGGACAGCCCACTCTGCCCGCAGCAGCATGGGTGGCACCAGCCACACACATTGCCACTGGCCCCCGTGCACATTTCCCTGGAGGGATGGAAAAAAGTTTGTGGTTTTTTTTTTTGTTTTTGTTTTTTTTTTTTTACAGCCCTTTTTAAAACCGTACTCCCCTTGCTGTGCTCAGGTGCTCTCTGTACTTGCCATTCCCTGTGCTTTCCTGAAGGCTTCTCCTCTCTAACTTAAAGACATTACAAAATGGGTTGCAAAGCACCAGCTCCCAACAAACAAATCTCTTTGCTGGGAGAAAAACCCAGCATATATTTGTTAGGGACCTCTACGAAAAAAATAAGATCCCAGAAACCTTGCGGCTGTCTGCTCGCACCCTGGCAAACCTCTCATCTCTCTCCATAACTTGTAGAAAACGGCAGGACTAAAAAAAGCTGCATCTCCCTGCCTCTGGGAACGAAGCACTGCCCTCCAGACTGCTCTGCTCCAGCCAGCAAGTGCCAATTCAAATGCAGCTCTTCCCAAAATACCTTAGAAATTGCTTGGCAGTTGCTCCTTTCAATAATAAGCAGCCCTGGACCCAAAGCCCAGCCTGGGCTCGTGGCCGGGGCTCACCTTGTACAACCTGTAGTAGTGCACAGCCACGTCGTCCAGCCGGACGGCCTCCTTGATGTATTTGAGATGGGCTTCGGAGGCTGTCAGGGCGAACTGATCTTTGTGCATGTTTGGGACGTGCTTCAGGATGTAGTCCTTGCCCCGCTTTCGCCACTACCTGTTTGGAGGAGAAGAGAAATTCATCCAGGGGAGCTGCTCCATGGTCGCTTGGGGCCAGACGCCAGCCCTGGCGCTCCCGGGCAGCGGCGATTTCAAGGGAAAAGGGAAATCGGAGCAACACGCTCCATTATAGAGACCTGCAAGCAAAAATAAAATAGATACAGCAGCCAACAACTTCTCAGTGCCTGTCCCGTGGAGCTCACGCCACCGGTGACACCCGTGCCAGGGCAGAGAGACCCACGCACGGGGTCCCTGCGTGGCCGGGGACACAGCCCCGGGGCCACCACTCCTCAGCGACACGTACAACAAAAAGAGAAGCTGGTAGATTTGGGGCAAACCCCAGAAAGCGGGCAACAGTGCCCACCACTTTTATTAATTTTCACCTTGCCGGCATCGGCTGCCGGGAACTGTAAGGGGAGGTTCAGCTGTTTGGGGTCCAAGGGCACATCCCACGCGGCTGCGCAGCCCCCCACCGCTCCTCCCTAATATTTACTTGTCTGGTAATAAATAAACTGGGGTTTGGGTACCCCGGGCTCTCCCTGCTGAAGGGGGGGCTGTGCTGAAGTGGGGGTCCCAGCCGGGAGCTGCCTGTGTCACCGCTGTGCCATACAGGACCGCTCCCTCCTCCGCCCTGCCTGCCAGTCGGAGGTGACCTGGGGCTGGGGGTCACCCCGTGCCCTGCCTCAGTTTCCCTCCAGGACTACCCCCAGGAACTGCCTACACCCGTGACCGCCGCCAGCACCGAGGACACCAGTTCCCAAAAGCCCGAGGGGGTGCGCACGATGCCGGTGGGGCGATGGCACATGGCCCACAGGGAAGCCCCCCCCACCCCCCCGAGCATCCCCGCAGCATGCAGGGAAACCCCCACCAGCTGTACGAGCTGCCCCAGCCACCACACCGCCCCCAACCCTCCCTGCCCGCATCTATTTGCAGCCCCACAGTTGTCAGAGGTTATAAATAACCGGGATTAAGCCAGGGGCAGGGAGGCAGCGGGACTGCCGGCCGCCCGGGAAGCCTCCAAGCAGCCTCGTGGGGGGTTTTCACGCGAGCTTTGAGCGGGCACCCCGTCACGGCACGCTTACCCAGGCGGGGAAATAAGCTTCGGGCTCAAAGTACTTCCCGTAGTGCTTGTTGCGCTTGAAGTCGCCCAGGTCGGCTTGGAGGGCGAAGGCGGTGAGGAGGAAGTAAGCCTCCTCGCGCAGCACGCACTGCGAGTGCAGCACTTGCTTCCGCAGGTGCCAGTAGTAGTAGTAGCGTGCGGTCCGGTCGCTGCAGGGAGGGGGGGGTGGGTGGGGAGCAGAGGGAAGCCGGTGGGACACCCACCCGTGACCGAGACCAGGGGGTGGGAGCCAGCCCCGGCACCTTCCTCCCCGCGGGAAGCTCGTACAGAGAGCGCAGGGCCGAGCGCCGAGGCGTTCGCTCCCTTTTCCCCCATTCCTTAAAGCTGGGGGGGGTGTGTGTGGGGGGTGTCCCGTTAAGGGGTGCAGAACAGCAGCTGCTTCACTGTGTTGAAACTTCCAGGCCTCCCACAGACAGAATAACGCACCCCACCCCGGCCCCCCCGCCAGCATCCCCGCGTGGCTGCAGACGCCACCGTGTCCCCACGCACCCAACACCCTGAAAATCCCCTTTTTGCCCCGCGACAGGACCCGAAGCTCCCGCCTGGCCGCAGGGTGAATTAAAATCAGGCCGTGCCACGGGTTAAATGGTGATAAAAACCCTAAAAGCCACGTCCCCCCCCTGCCCTCCCCCAAAGGCTTTGTCATCGCCACGTCCCCCCACTCGCCACAAACAGCCCCAATTGAAGGGATGAGATTTTGGGAGGGGAGCAGCGCCCCGCAGCAGCCCCAGCGAGCGGTACCCGAGCCAGGGGCACCCCAGGGTGACCCCCCTGTCAGCCACGGGTGGGTGCCCACCGTGGGGGGGGGGGGATGGAGGGGGGGGTGTGGGGGGCGCACCCTACCTGATCAGCCTGCCGTTCTCCACGTAGTACTGCACGCGGAAGTGGATGATCATTGGGGGGCCAAACTGGTCGATCCCCTGAAACAGAGGAGATATTCAGGGCTCCTGCGGAGACCCCGGCATCGCGCCCCGGCCCCCAGCCCCTCGCCTCGGCTCGCCCTGGGGCCAGGTCAGTCACAACCCCCCCCCTTTCCCCCCCCCCGCAGGGTGAAAGCCACAGGGAAGGGCTCCCTCGCTAACACCCATCGCGTTTTTTTTTTTTTCCTGAATTAGAGTTTGACACCCATTTTTTTTTTTTTCCCCCCCCAGTATGAGGAAACACGAAGGGGATTTGGATTTGAAGAAGCAGGTGGCTGGGTTTGAGACCCCCCAGGGGTCTGCAGCCCCCCCACCGCCGCTGTCCCGCTCCCACCCAGTCCATCACCCACCAGTCCCCATCTTGGGTGCCGAGTCAGTGCCAGCACGGGAACCTTCTCACCAACCGCCCCTCGGCACATGGCAACGAAATAATTAAAAGGTGTTTTGCACGGGGGGGGGGAAAAAAAAAAACAACAAACGCTTCATTTTAGAAACTGGAAGGGACCCCTTAAAGATTCTCCTGAAGTATAAGGAAGTAAGGGAGGAAAAAACCCACAGCTCCAGGGTGGGGAGTGTGGAAGACACGTGAGTGCGCGCGGTGGCACTCGGGGTGATGGCCATCAAGCATCACCCAGGTTTTGTTTCACACACCCACCCCCCATCCCCGCGCTGGCCGACAGCCAAGCGTCACCCCCCACCCCCCCCTCGCCCCTCGGCTGCGTTCCCGGGTCCTGGAAGTGACCTGCGACGGGGACAGAGGTGGCCTTACTGCCGTCAGCTCTCCATGCAAGACCTCACCGCTGACCTTGCTGGCCTCCTTCTTCCACTCCTTGGGGCAATACTTGTAGAGTTTCTGGGCCAGGTCCATGTACACGTGCTCATTGTCTGGGCAGGACAGAGGGTGGCATCAGCATCCCCCGCGTGTCCCTTGCGTCCCACCAAGCCCTGCCCTTGGGCCACCCTGATCCATCGGTGGGTGGCGGGGGGGGGGGTGGGGGTGGTCCGTAACCTTCTCATCACCTAACGAAAGGCCACTAAAGGGCTGAGGAAATTTGTCCCCACCTTTGGGCAAAGACACCCCACCCTACTCGGTGGCATCACGCCTTGCCGAGCCGTGGTGGCATCAGGCTGAACCAGCCACGGGCAACAAAAACCCACGGTGCAAGCCCCTGACTTACTCTGGATGACGCTGAGCCCGAAGAGGTGACAGTCCTTCAGCCTCAGGAGGTCACACACCTGCACCAGTAACTCGTGGCACAAAATCTTCACCTGTACAAAATAAACCCCACACGTGGTCCCCGCTGCATCCGTGCCCAGCTGAGCCGGGCAGGAGGCACCGAACCCCCACACCAGGTCCCCAAGCAGGACCGGGGGGGGGGGGGGGGGGACAGGCTGGGCTGAGGGGCTTATTTTTCCATAGGGCCAACATGGATTTCCCCAAAAGCAAGCTCCCACCCTGGGGTGCAGGACCAGAGCTCTCCCGGGGATGGGATGCACGGGGGACCCCGGGGCAGCTCGAGAGCAGCGGGCGGTGGTGGAGACCTCGCTGCAACCAGCCTGGCACTGGGAGATGGCTTTGGGGACAGAAAACAGAATATTGAGTGATGGTGAATTAAAAAAAAAAAAAATCAGAAGTGAGGGAACTTCATATTCCATACTACATCTGAATCAGAGCCAAACTCCTTCTTGTTTATTCGCTGGGGTGCACGAGGCTGCATTGCCACCCACGGTGGATGTGTGGAGGACCAAAGGAGGCAGGATTCCCACATCCCCTGGGGATGGCACGCAGCAGGTCACCCGCCCAAAATCACGGCGCTGCCGGCAGCACATTGAGTCAAGAAGAAGCAGGAGAGCGTGCAACACTGCTGCAGCCTTCAGGGGGAATAACTCATGTGCATTTCTCTGGCAGGGCGAGGCGGGCAGGCTCAAAATTCCACCCAGAAGCAAAAACCCGAGCTCTGCAAATGCACCCAGGTGCGACGAAAACGTCGGTGCCGAGGGGGTTCCCCGGGCCCCCGCGCTGCCTTACGTTGATGATGATGTTGAGGGAGTCGTCGTTGGGGAGGAAGATGCAAACGCTGCGGCGGTCCTGCATGACTCTGTTGTTGTGGAAGGTCAGTTTGTTCATCGTGGTCCGGGCTCAGGGCTCGGGGAGGGTGGGGGGGCACCTCACCGGCGGGCCGGGGCGGCCTCGGTCCCCGCGGGCGCCATCCCTGCGGGCGAAAGGGGAGCTGAGCCCCGTGCGCAGCACCCCCAGCTTCCCACACCCACATCCTTGCCACCCAGCACCATGTCCCCCCAGAAGCGGGGCGTCCCCCAAAACCCCCCGGGTGCACCCCCACCACAACCACCCCTCATCCCAACCCCGGCGCTGCGGTTAGGGTAGAGCAGGATCACAGCCGAGCCCAAAAAACCTGACCCAGCAGTTTTACTCTCCCAGCTCGGGTTCAGAAAAACCTCAGGAAAGGCTTTCCTGGCATAATTTAAAAAAAAAAAAAAAAAAAAAAAAAAAAAAAAAAGTCCATCTGCTGGGAAGCAAACCCGACTCCGCTGGAAAGGAGCAGAATGGCAAAAAGCAAAAATTTTGTCAGCAGCAAAAAGGCGAGGGGCTGATGTGGGGTCCCATGGCAGGACCCCCCCGTCCCTTCTAGCATCATCTCCCCCAGCTCCAGCTCTTTACGGTGGTTTAGTAAAGCAACCCAAGCACTAACAGTGATTTGCAGATGGGAATCGCTGTCTCTTGCCCTTTCCCAACATTCACCTAAATCCGTACCAGGTGAACCCATCCTTGCACTAACCCCAGGCACTCCTTATTTTCAAGAGCAAATATTCCTTAAGCACTTTTTACCCCACGACCATCCCCAGGGACACAAATGCACCCACGACGCCATGAGTAAGGATCCTTAAACTCTATAGTTCACCCTTTTCCTAACCCATAGATTTATGCTGGCACGGAGGACAGTATAGTGTCTCCCTCTTCACCAAATATTTGCTTTGGTTTACATGAGAATGCCTTTGGCTTCAAAACAGTTTAACTTGCATATTTGTACAGCAGAGAAAAAAGTGCCCTGAGGTGACTTTGTGTTAGGTAGTTACTGGGGTTTTGCAGAAGTTGGGAAATCCAGGGGTGATGCTCTCTCGCCACACCACGCCGGGTTTGCACCACCAAGGCCCCGTGCAGCTGTGCAGTGTGGCCGTGCACTGCACCTGTGCATTGCATTTGTGCATTGTGGCCAGGCACTGCACCCGTGCATTGCACCCGTGCACTGTGGCAGTGCATTGCATCCATGTACCACGGCCGTGCATCATGGCCGTGCATTGCACCCGTGCATTGCATCACAGCTGTGCATCGTGGCCATGCATTGCATCCATGCATTGTGGCAGCGCACTGCAGCAATGCATTGCCTCTTTGCATTGCATCAGAGCATCGTGGCCGTGCACTGCAGCAATGCATTGCCTCTTTGCATTGCATCGGAGCATCGTGGCCGTGCACTGCAGCAATGCATTGCCTCTTTGCATTGCATCGGAGCATCGTGGCCGTGCACTGCAGCAATGCATTGCCTCTTTGCATTGCATCAGAGCATCGTGGCCGTGCACTGCAGCAATGCACTGCCTCTTTGCATTGCATCAGAGCATCGTGGCCGTGCACTGCAGCAATGCATTGCCTCTTTGCATTGCATCGGAGCATCGTGGCCCTGCACTGCAGCAATGCATTGCCTCTTTGCATTGCATCAGAGCATCGTGGCCATGCACTGCAGCAATGCATTGCATCTGTGCATTGCAGCTGTGCACTGTGGCCATGCATTGCATCCACGTATCACAGCCGTGCACCGTGGCCGCGCACTGCAGCTGTGCCTTGTGCCTGTGCATCGCATCCCTGCATCGTCCCTGCACCAGGCATGACTGATCCCAACTGGGAGCAAACAGCGGGGCGGATGGGTTGGTGTCGAGGTTCGTGAAAAATCACAGCGGTGAACAAAAAGGGGGCTGAGGGGATTTGGCAAACACCCTCGCCCCAGCCCTCCTGCACCGACAACGTGCTGGGCGTGAAGCGACTTGCACCGGCCGCGGCAGGGAGGGCACCCCATCCCCGGCAAAGCAGCCGTGTCCCGGAGCACCCTCCGCATCCCGCACCCACCCAAAACCCTCCCACAGCCCCCACGCATGCACCAGAGCACCTTCCCACCCGGCTGAGAATTACAGCAGGCTCAGAACTACAGCCGCAGGCACAAACCACCCTTGATTTCTTGGTGAACCCATCCCCAAGAGGTTATTCTCTGCCCCGCACACCCACAGCATCCCTGTTGCAGGAATGAGCCTGGAGCAGCCAGTTGGGAACAGGTCCCTCCTCCATCACAGCCTCTGCACCAAAACTCTGCTCGCAGCGGGAAACACCTGAGGAAAACACCTTCTTAAAAGCACTTGGAAATGAAACCAAGCCTTCAGCCAAAACCCCAGTGTCACAGCTCATCACCTCACTGCCTCCAACAACCAGGCAGGGGCTGGGCATCAGGCCCCACCGTCCAGCTAGGGCATCCCCCCGGGAGTGTTCCACGCTGTTCTTGGCATCCCGGGGCTGTTTATCTCCACGTCAGTCAATATATTTACTCCTCCTCCTGCAGCCTGACTTGGTCCCCGAGCACCGGGGATTAAAGCGCACGAGCTGGTGTCAGCGGAGCACAGGCCATCGGGCAACCCGGTTGGGACGGCACCACCGGAGCCAAAGAAAACATCTCCCCCCCAGCAGCAGCTCTGCAGGGCCCTACCTCCGAGAGCAAGCAAACCACCGGAGGGGAAAAAAAAAAAAAACACATGTATTTTGATATTTGCATAGAAAATGCTCCAACTCCTGCTGCTGAATGATAACACCCCATCAGACAACCACTATGGGGGTGCCCAGCGGCTTTGCGAGACCCCGCTCAGCTCCAGGAGTTTCCCCCCAGGCTCTGCCAGCCCTCTGCGAGCTGGAGCCGCGGCAGATTTAGCAAGAGGGCACAAAAAGCCCTTTCCAGGGTGATGTGCCTCCAGCAGCCTCGGCCAGACGCCGGCAAATTCTTTCCAAGCATCTGCTGCTCATTCCTACAATGTCAGCTTTGATTCCCCAGGACCCCGCACCGAGTCGCTTCTGCTCCGGCGCAAGCGCTGACATGAGGCATGAACATGTCCGGATCCGAGCTGGAAAGAACCTGGATTGCAGGGAGAGCCCCCCTGGAAGGCCACACCGGGGTGGGGGTGACACAGGTTACCCCACGACCCGAGTGGGAACCCCCACCCCAGGCAGTTTTGCAAGGGGTTTTCCATCCGGAGAGCAAAGCCGGCTGGAAAAAACACTGGGAATGAAGACTCAGGCATGGATCAGCCGCTGCAGCGCTGGGAGATCCAGGTCTTCCAGCTGTGTTTTCCCTGCTATAGGGAAAAGAGCATTAAAACTCCATAGGAAGGCTTTGCAAACACCCTATGCGCCTTGTAACTCCAGGGCTACGTGGAGAAAATTCCTCGATCCGCCGTGTTTTTCAGCCCAGGCTGCTGGAATACTGTCTCCCTCCCTTGTACCAATTCCACGGGATAAACCCCGTCGCAAAGCTGTGCTGTAAAGAAAACATCACGCAATAAACCTGCTGGCCGGCGCGGCTTGGAAAAAGCAGCTCGGGCTGTCGCTGCTGACTCGGCGGGGGATTTATTCAGCACGGGGTCTTGCAAACACGGCCGAGGGCAGGCAGAGCCTGGGCCCGGTTCAGATGGAGGTGCTGGAGCCACGTGCCAGGCTCTCATAGGAAATATAAATTTGGATGCAGTTCCAGGACTGGGGATTTAACATCGCTTGAACTTGCTGGTTGAGGTGGGTTTTTCTTCCGAAGAAGCAAGAGAGCAGCTTCTGCGCATGCGAAGAGAGGCTGGTTTGCGTGTGTGGCATTTCTTCCCCCCTCCTTGTATTTAATTATATTTAAAAGAAGCGGCTGAGTCTCTATGCCCATGGGTTTGGTCACATTTGTACCCCCGTGGCACCATCACGGTGTTGAATGCTCAACCCAGCCCCCAGACAGACCCAGCCCGTTTCTCCATCACCCAAATTCACCCCTCCCCTTGCCAAAATATCAATTTAAAAAAAAAAAAAATTCTGCCCTATCAGATACCTAACCCATTGCCGGGCTTTTGTTCCAGCCCTCCCAAGCCCCAACAAGGGCGAGGGAAGGGATTCGGCACGGGACCCACACGTAGACACGGGCTGTCCTGCAGCAAGAGGCAGCCCAAAGGGCAGAGCAAGATGGGAAGATGAATTCACAGGGCAGGAATTTCTTGTTTTTAAGAGTTTAGAGTCAGTTTCACCCCACATCACAGGGTGCAGGTATGCGTGAGCTGTTATTACAAGTTTTAAGGCCGTCACTTAATGCAGCTCCTACTAACCCAAAAGCCAGATTAATTCCTGCTTGTGGTTGCCCCGTAATTAAAATCGTCTCCAATTCTTCATGAACTCAACAGTTTCCTCCTAATGAAGAGAGGCAGATGAAAGAGACCTTCACTGGGAAAAAGGACTCAGTTATAAATATTACATTACTTCATCCACCACAAAAGCTCTTTGGATGCTGGAAACTCAGCCTGGGCAGCCGGGGGCCAGCCCCACCAGCCCCACCGGCCCTAGCAGATGCCCCCGAGGGCTGGAGGTATCCAAAAAGCTTCTGCAAGGAAGGTTCCCCCAGGAGTTCGCCTGCCTCCACCTCTGCAACACTCCTCCTCTTCCTCCCCTTTGGCTGCTGCAATGGGACAAGAGCAGCGGGCAGCGCGGGTGCTGGGGACACCCGGGGGCAGCTGCAAAGGGCCAAGCCAAGGGCATCATCCAAAAAACGGGATAATGGCCTCTCTGTCCCCTCCTATTTGTGTCACAGCTGCAATCGCAGCCAGCGCTGGGGACGAGCCCCGTGGGACATCACATCAGGGCATGGGGAAACACGGGCCGAGCCCCGGCAGCTCGGGAAATCGCTCCCCCCTGCCCGTCCTTCTGCCATGCACGGAGCTGAATCCGGCCTGGAAGCGCTGATTTTCCATCCCCCTGCACCCCATGGCATCCCAGGCCTCTTCATTCCCTTACTTTGGCGCACTAAAATATAAATAAAAGCGGCACAGCCTCCGCCGAGGATGCGTGCAGAAACGCATTTCGCCTGGCACAGGCTCCAGCGAGGGAGGGACGGCGCCTGCCCTTCCTCTTCCCTCTTCT